AAAAGCATATGTGAATGGCATATATTAAATTTATCTGTGAGTAGAAGACTCACCCACAGCAATACCAAGGTCAGAGCCTGAATTCTAAGGATTGTTGGCTTCCCCCCCCCCCCCTCAGATTGGAGAATCATTTGTGTTCTTGCCCTGTCATTAGATTATAAACTGCCCAAGAACACAAACCTTCTTTGCTCACCAATGAGATTCCAGAATCTGGCAAAGTCTTTCAGTGATATAAATTTTCCATTTTTACTGAATAAATGAGTTTTCTCATTTAAAAAAAAGTAACCAGTTTTATTTCTTATTTTTTAATACATAAGTTGCATTTCTCTTTCTTGCCGAGCATCTTATTGACTGATCAGTATTTTGTTAAATAGAATTGTGGGGAACTTTCTTGTTTCTTCAAGCCTTAGATCTCAAAGACAAATACTAATTTACAGTTTTGCTAATACAAACTGTAAAATTTGGGTGATGATTTTTATCAGTATAATGAAGAATCCTCTTATTTCTGATTAGTGAAAGTAATTTAATCTTCAGTTTTTAGTGGCAATGTACTAAGTATTATAATTTTTACAGAGGCTAGGCAGTATTATCTCAAAGACATACTAGATTGAGAATTACTATGAATTTTATTCGTATTTTTGAACATATTTACATAGTACAATAATTTTAGCCATGTATTTAACTTTGATATATTTTTTAAAATCATAAAGTATTTTAGGGAAAAATAAGATTACAGGCTAAAGAAACTGAAATTGGCACCTTATGTAAGTTATTTATTTTAAGTAATATAAAGGAAATTCCTTTTTATAATCTAAAATTATATTATTAGTGAATATCTGATATTTGGGCAAGTAATCTTGTCTTTGGGGATGAGAACAACATGAAGTCAGAAAGAGAAGCTTGCAAATCTTTAATTTAATTATACTAATCATCCTTTAATAAATAAAAGAGCAATGCATTTTGCAATGCACAATAGTTAGAATTTTTTGTGTAATTAATTATTTATAATATTATATAGCAAAACTAATTAATATTTTAATGTTATGAAGGCTCTTCACAAAAATTCCTAATTTTGCAATCATCAAATTCTCAGCTGGTTACTGAAAGGTTAATGGTCCAAATTCAATTAGTAGTTTTATGGTAGGAAGATCTGATAATCTGCTTCTGCTAAAATTGAAATGAATAAAACTCTTTTAGTAATTCTACTTTGCCCATAGGTTGCACCCAACAAATACAGTATAACAGGCTCTCACTAAGCAATGTTATATAATGTGTGAAAAATGCACTCTCATTATATTTTAGTGATTGTAATGATACTTTTAATATCAGGTATGGACATTTTTTGTTTCAATATTTTGCTTTTTGCTACTGATTCAAAAGTTATTATATAATCTATCCCTACCACAATTTTTATTAATCTTTGTATTTTATTAGTATTATATTTATTTTGATATCTTTCATTTCATATTTATGGGTTTGCTTAACTTAAAGAGATATTTAGTAGCTGTGAGAAATTTCTGGAACATAATAGAAATACAAATTAATAAGTTTCAAAAAGTTGATACAAAAACATCTGAAAATAAATGCTCGTAGAGAATGGAGAGACTGGATTCCTTATATACTGCCGCTGGGCATGTACAACATGCATGTACAACAACTCTGGAAAGTGATATGATGTTTCCTAAACTATTAGAACCAGAAATACAATATGCTCCATCAATCCTGCTACTTAATCTATATCTGATAGAGTTGTCATATGAATGGATATTTTCACATCTATATTCACTGCAACATTATTCACAATAGCAAAAAATGTAAACAACCTCAATCACATCATAAACCCCTCAGCGTCAACAATGAGAGTAGAGATACCCGAAGGATTATGGGATGGTGGGGGGACAAAGAGGGAATCCATCCCAAGGATCAACCTACACCTCCCTCCCAGGGGGACGAACAATGGAAAAGTGAGTGAGGGGTGATAGAGGATGATGTAAGATATGGAAATAATAAACTTTAACGTATCAAGGGTTCATTAGAGAGGGTGGGTTGGGGAAGGAGGGGGACAAAATGGGTCAGGATAGCATGGGATCAGGTGGGAAGAGAATGCTTTGAAAATTATGATGATGGCATATGTGCAAATGGGGTTTGACACACTGGGTGAATGCATGGATTGTAATAAGAGATGTAAGAGCTCCCAATAAAATTATTTTTTTTAAAAAAAGACTTACCCATGCTACACCATGCTTCAAGACAAAATTTCATTTATTTGTAATGAGAAATAAATATTTCCCAATATATAGAAAAAAGAAGAATGAAAGAGAAAACTATGGCATATACACACAATGGAATATTAGTCAAAGTTATATAACAAAAATGAAGCTTTTAAACACTTCATAACATAAAATAACCAGAGAAATTTGTGTTGAATAAAATAAGTCAATCACAAAAGGGTAAGTATTGTATGAAACCACTATTAGAAATCGTAAATTGAAGATTTTCACACTAAAATTACCATTTTTTATTAATAAGATTGGAGTGTCAAGAAGAAAACAAAAGTAAAAAGCTAAAACAAACAAACAATTTAGCACTGTCATCAAATCAATTCCAACTCATGATTAACTTCTAGGACAGAGTAGAACTATCCTTTTCCAGTTTTCAGTGCTGTGAACATTTCCTGTGGTTGGTGAATTCACACAGCTGACCTTGTGTGAGGAAGCTCAATTTGCATCCACTATCAAAGGTGCTGGTTGGTGTAAAAGGTTGTTGTTTTCTTCCCTTGAGTCAATTCTGAACCCTAGCCACACTACATATGACAGAAGGAAACACCGCCTGATTCTGTGACCTTCTCCCAGTTGTTATTGTAATTGGGACAACCACTGTGGCAATACAGCTCTTGAGGGCCTTCCTCATTTCCATTTCCCTCCCACTTTACCATCCATGCTGTCCTTCTCCAGGGATTGACCTCTCCTGATAAATGAGTTCAATGTATGTGACAAGAAGCCTCCCCATCTCGGTCTCTTAGGAGCATTCTAGGCGAACTTCCTAGAAGTTTGTTCTTTTGGCAGTCAAGTGTATTTTCCTTTCAAATGATTTTATTCAATTCCATGGGAAATTCAGAACTACTGAAGTACTATTACTTTAAATTGTCAGCAATACAAATCAGTGCTTAAGAAAACCACTGAGTAAATTGCCATTTTAATTAGTGAAAATTCCTCAAGTTTTGGTGCTATTTATCCTCAGTGAAACCCTGGAATTACTCTGTAAAGCATTACCGTAGCATACAATAGTAATATTTATACTAACCTATAATGTAAGTGAGACATTTAATTATCAGAGTCAACTTATAATAGAATACACATGTGAAGATTTAAGTCAAGCTTAGGGATCATGTTGCATTGATAGTCCACTTTATAGACAAGACAATTAAGATAAGATGAAATAATCTATTGTTAATACCAGTAATAAAGCAAGAACCGGAAACTTTTCTTTTCTGCTTAGATTTGTTTCTACTACTCATATTGTTAAGCTATAGAGACACTCATGTGTCAAAAAATAATTTTCATCATAATTCTCTAATGGATTAAAAAAATCTTAATTCTTATAAAAAATATAGTAGTAGTGTTCCTGAAGCCCAATTTTAAAATAATTAAAAACAAAACAAAACTCACGTTGATTATATTATTTTCCATCATAACAAGATAAGAAAAACAGGAGAGAGGAAGGCAAATGAAAGTTCATGCAGAACGCAGAGATGGTCTTTTGAAAGCAAGTGTCTGTTCCACAAAATATCAGTCAGGATTATGTTATGTTACAGATAGCATGGCATGCTTCATGTATCTAGATTCATAAAGTGAGTTGGTTTATTTATTTTGTTTAATTATAAAGAAATATATTATTTTGCCTCCTCACAATCAATGAGGATAATATATCAGCAATGATTACCTGAATGCTACTGTAGAGATACTATTTTAATCATAATAATTCTAAATGTGTGGTCATGTTGTTGAGGACATGTAAATGTAAATCTGTTAATATAATATTAAAAATAATATTTTACAAATTTCTACTTAAAATCTTGAAATTTCATAAACTGTATGCATAACTTTGAAATATAGCTCTGTTACGGATATTATCAATTTGTTAATTGCAAAGAGTGCATTTTAGGAATACTCTCAGCATCACCAAAATGTGCATGAAGTACAGTTTTGCAATGTAATTAGTTAGAAATTGAGAAAGTTAATTCTAAAATTGAATTGTTCATAAAAAATCTATTTTCATACTCTCTGACTTAAGCAGTTTCTCTTCATAAAATTTTCTATGGTTGTTTGAAGAAATTAAGTGTAGTTAATCAGTAAGAACATTGTGGTTTGACCCTTAGCTTGAAATCCCTGTCTTGAATAGTGAATGAATGCTTATAGAATTACACATTCCAATGAGAACCTAAATAGGAAATGTATTTATGCCCAAATATATTTCTGTATTTATATTAGCCAAAGTGGTATTGTCCAAATTTTTGTGAGATATATTTCATGTAAGTTTATGACTAGATGGTTAGATGGTAGCTAGATAGACGATAGCTGAATGAATGGATGATGAAATGAGAGATAAGTAAAGAAATAAAGATAGATTGTGTGTGTGTGTGTGTGTGTGTGTGTGTGTAGATAGAGCGAGAGAGATGGGTGAGTGCTGAATGGATAGAAAGGTAGTTACATAAATAGATGATAGTTCAGGAAGCTTCAAAATCATGGTGAAAAAATTCTGTTGTCTTCCAGTTTCATTTATCCACAAACTTTTGGATGCCAATTCATATTCATAAAATATTTGGTTCAATGTTTACTCAGATTCATTTTATTCAAAACTAAATCTGTTATATTGATATAATGCAGAAGCTAATAATAATATTTAAAACTCAGCATAAAACAATCTTAGAGGGAAAATTCCAATAGTGATAATGAGGATACTTTTCATGTCTAGTTACTATGTAATTCTTTGTTCTGCAGTGCCACCAGCAATCACAATGCCACAGAAATCCTTCAATGCAACGGCAGAGAGAGGAGAGGAGATGACACTATCCTGCAGGGCCTCTGGCTCCCCGGAACCCACCATCAGTTGGTACAGGTAAGTTACCCACCATTGGCGTTTTTACACTCATTTTATTAGAAGCTCGGACAGATATTATAACAGTCCCTAATTTAATTAGATCAAGTACAATTGTACAATTACTGCAACCATCATTTTCAAAACATTTTCTGTCTTCTTGAACTCTTTGTTGTCAACTCCCCTTTATCTCCTCCTTCTCTAACCCTACCCGCAGGAATCCTAATTCTTATATATAGTTACTTTTTTATATGATATCAGACACCATCCAGTATATCTGTTTCCCTACAATTCTGCTTTTTGTTCCCTTAGAGTGAGCTTGTACAGTCATCTTTGTATCGATTTCCCCATCCTCCACACTCTCTTCCTGTACCCCAGGGAATCATTTGGTTTGCTTCACAAGATTCATGGAATCATATACTGGTGTCTTATAATTTTTGCACAAAACAATGCATTTATATTGAATTTCAGTAAAAATGTAATGTTTTTCATTTCAGTTAAGCGAATTTGATTAAATTCCTAAAAAAGTTCATTATATAATTTCACCATAACTTTCTTAGTTAAAGGGTACCTTCATTGTTCTAATTATCCATCTACTAGGGCATCTTTCAGGCCTAGAAAAAGTCCAAATCCCTATGATTAATTAAGTCATTTTATTAGTATTACTACAGAGTAAATGGAAGAATAAGCTCTAGAATTAATGGCAACACTGCCTTCTGTATACAGTAGCCCAGATGACTAACTATATAGGCATATCTCAGAGCTGTTGCAGGCTCAGGTTCAGATCATTACAATCGAGTGAATATCACAATAAAGTAATGTACACAAATGTTTTGGTGTCCTAGTACATATAAAAGTTGTGTTTATATTATACTGTATTCTATTAACTATGTAATAGAACTATAGAAAAGTTTGAATTACTATGAGAATTATAAAAATATGACATAGAAAAGTCATATTGAGCATAGACTGTCTAAAAATGACATCGATAGACATGTTTTACACAGGATTGTCACAGACTTTCAATTTGGAGAAACACCTTGCATATTATCTGTTGAGCACAATAAAGAAAAGCACAATAAAATGAGATATGCCTGTAGTATATATTCAAGGAGCCCTGATGGCTCTATTGAGTGAGTGTTGCACTGCTAACGTGCAAGCTTATGGGTTCAAACACACCATTTGATCACCAGGAGAAAATAGAGGTCTTTCATCCCGTAAAGATTTACGAAGACTCAAAAACTCTATGTGGCATCTCTATGAATAAAATTTAAGTCAATAGCAGTTGGTGGTGGGGTAGTACAAGTAATTAGATACATCGATATTCATTTAATGTGATTTTAAAAATTATCGTAGGAAATGAATAAAATATTTGTTTAAAAAGTTGTTAGTAGCTCATTTTTGATATATTGTTTTAGAATTTTAAATATTTTATTCAACTTCAATTAAAGTTAAGCTGCTATAAAAATTTCCCTTGCAATATGCAAATGCACTAATTGCTGAAGAATGGATAATCTTGTAAATATTTACTGCTTATTAATGCACTCTACTATACAAGCCTTAGATAAATCTATATTAGAATCACCTTTAATATTGAAAGCCATACAATGGAAGAGTAATGAAAACTTAAAAAAAAGTAAAATACGTCAAGTGGGAAAAGTATTCACAATACAGATTTAACTATACATTATTGTCAATATTTTTAGGAAAAAATTGAAACTCAAAATTTATTTTGACATTAATATCTGATTTTTTGAAGTTATCTTCAAGTTACAAACTTTTTTATCCATGTAATATAACAGATAGCAACAAATAGGACATTTTCAAAACAAGTTTTTAAAAGTTATCTTAGCAAACGTATTTGTGAAATCCTGTTACTACTTTGTAAGAAATGCACTCATCAAATATTAAGATATTCTCCCAGATAGTTACTGTATCTCTTAGAGATGACTAGTTTACTAGTTTAGATACTTATCAATCAATATATTCTTGTCAGTTAGTATTAGATGTAATTGAAGCATGGAAAAGCACTTGGCTCATTCATTAAAAGTAAGAATTTTCTAGGATCTTACTTTAACAATTTTATATTCACAAAGAAACTACCTTTCAGCTCATTTTTTAAAACAAATTTTATAATACCAAATTATTCTGTATATGTAGGTGGAAGTACAATAACTATAATTATAGTGTAGACATGTATTAAGAAATTTCAGAGACCTACATGATGAAAATTTTGAATATGTATATTTTTCATCTCCATATCTACATATGACATTAGTTACATCACTAGAATAGGTTAATAATTATTTACTAAAATTTAACTTATACTAGTTTCTAGGTATGAAATACGTAATTGGAGAATCAGAGTATATTGTAGTGACATCTATCAATAAAACTAATATTAAAGGGAAGTTTTAGTTTTAATATACACATTTGTACACAATATATCTGTTCTTTTGTCATCTTTCACCACTTCCTTGCTGCTGTGATACTGGAAACTATGTCACCACCATTTCAAGTACCAGCAGCATCCCTCAAGGTAAACAGGTCCCAGTAGAACTTCCCGACCGAGACCAGACTACATAGAGGACATAGGCCATCCAGTTTGGAGGGCTTAACCACTGAAACTTTATGAACAGCAGCAGGGTACTGTCAGACACAGGGCCAGATGATGAGCCCTCAGGATGGAAGGCTTTCACAATGTAACTGAGGAAAAGCAGCCTTCTCCAAGTACAATCAATGATAATGGAGTGGATGGAATATATCCTTGCTGATGTGGCAGAACTCAAAAAACTAGGACTAGCTATTCATAATTGAAATGTGAAATGTACAAAGTATGAATTTAGGGAAACTGCTGCTGTTGTTGTTGTGAGGTGCCATCGAATCAGCTCCTACGCATAGTGACCCTTGCCCAGCAGAATGAAACACTGCACCATTATGCAACACCCTCAAAATGGTTCCTATGCCTGAGCTCTTTGTTGCGGTCACAGTGTCAATCCATCTCCTTACGAACCTTCCTCTCCTTCTCCAGCCTCGACCTTACCTAACATGGTGTCTGTCTACAAGCACTGAACTCTCATGACCACATGTCCAAAGGATGTAAGACAAAGTCTCACCATCCTTGCCTCTAAGGGGTACTCTAGACATATTTCTTCCAAAACAAATCAGTCTGTTCTTTCAGCAATTCATGGTACTTTCAATATTAATTTTCAGCACCACAATTCAAATGTATCAATTCTTTTTCCATCTTCTTCTTTCAAATGTCCAACTTTCACACGTATATGAAGCAATGGGAAATGCAATGGCTTGGGTCAGGGACAACTTAGTCCTCAAAGTAATATCTTTGCTTTTCAACACTCTAAAGTAGTCTTGTGCAGTAGATTTACCCAATGCAACACATCTTTAGAACTCGTGACTTTTGCTTCCATGAGCATTGATTGTGTATCCAAGCAAGACAAAATCCTTGTGAACTTCAACTTTGTTCTCCATTTTTCATGATGTTACCCATTGGTCCAGGTGTGAGGCTTGTTGGTCTTCTTTATATTGAGTTGTACTCCATAACGAAGGCTGAACTCTCGGATCCTCATCAGCAAGTGCATCAAGTTCTCCTTACTTTCAAGAAGCAAGGCTGTTGCATTTGCATGTCACAGGCTGTTATAGAGTCTTTTCATAATTCCGATGCAACATTCTTCTTCATATAATCCAGCTTCTCTCATTATTTTCTCATCATATACATTGCATAAGTATTGTGAGAGGTCAGTACAGCCTGTGTGTATAACAGTTAGGATCAGCACAACCCTGTCGTAAACCTTTTCTGATTTTAAACAATGCAGTATCCCCTGCTCTGTTCTCACAGCTGAATCTTTATCCATGCACGAGCTCCAAGTGAGCCAACAAAGTATTCCAGATTCCCATTCTGCTCAAGTTTATTCAGTTTCTTTTGACTACTACACCTTAATGAATTCCAAGGGACTAGTATCGGTCATTTTGAATCAATATGCTCGGAATTTCAAATTAATGAAGAATGCTATCACATTCCTTGTCAAAAAACATCTGTGTTGAAATACAGTGCTATGATATGATATCTTCATACGTAAAAGGATTTATAGTCAATGTAATCATTAGTCACGTTTTCACACCAATCATTAAAGCTAGAGATGACGAAATTTAATAATTCTACCAAAGTCTTCTATTCATTAGTCCTTCCATATTGGAAACGGTTTACATACCATGCATGTTTGTCAGTGGCTACTTCCTCTGAGGTGGACTTCTAGAACATATTACCCTGCTCAGATACACCGTCAGTGCTCATGAGAGCAGCCGTCAAGAGATCAAAAGACATAATGCGCTGGGTAAGTCAGGTGTACAAGGTCTCTTTAAATCGTTGAAAAACAATAGAGAGGCTTGGGCATGTTGTCACGAGAGACTAGTCCCTTAAAAAGGACATTATGCTTGGTAAAATAAAGGGGCAGCCAAAAAGAGGAGGGCCCTCAACAAGATGGGTTGACACATTGGCTGTAACAGTGGGCTCAGTCCTAAGAACAATTGTGAGAAGACACAGGCCATGGCAGTGTTTTATTCTGTTGTACACTGGATCCCCATGGATCAGAACTGACTTACTGGCACCTAGCAACCAACAAGCTAACACCAAAATCTTCAGTCTGAAATTGATCAAAACTTCTATATAGATGCATTGTTGGTATGAAAAAATTGGAAACCAAGAGAAAGGAACTAGATATTTAAGAATAGTGAATTTGTTAGAAAACTGTGTTGTGTTTCATTCTTTGGTATTTGAAGTCACCATAAGCCAGAGCCAACTTGAAAGCAACTAACAAATATTAACAAAGCTGAATTATTTATTCAAGTAACTATTGAATTTAAGTTATAATATTTAGCAAAATGTGACCAATCAATTGGATTTTCAGACAAACATATAACATTCTTTATAGAGAATACTTATATATAATATGTTTAACTTGTATTTATATTGTATTTTTAAGTTTTTTATGATGTTTTCAGAGACATTATTTTAAAGATGTCCTCAGAACTTAATAAATATGTGTTATATAGTGCATATTGACTCATCAATATTCACAATGCACTAGGATTAAACTTGGCAGACGGCATATAGTTTTGTTGACATAGTACAAATTGAAACCAATGGACTATTTTTGTCCAAGGTTAGTGTTAGATTTCTATGTAGCTCATTTTATTCTTGTCTCTATAGTCAAACTAACTTTCAAACACAATTGTAATATCTGTGTTAAGGTTCCCCTGGGCCAATAAAAATAGATTTTTGATTGAAATATAACCTTGGTTACAAATCACAGTAGACATAAAGTGCTTCATGCCTCTAGACCAGTAAGTTGAGTATTATCATCTCAGTCATGAAGTCAGATATATGAAGATCAACTTTTTTTCCTTCCTTAGGAATGGCAAGCTTCTTGAAGAAAATGAAAAATATCTATTGAAAGGAAGCAATACAGAACTTACGGTCAAAAAAATAATGGACAGTGATGGAGGCCCTTATGTCTGCAGGGCCACAAATAAGGCAGGAGAAGATGAAAAACATGCATTCCTCCAAGTTTTTGGTAAGTATTATAGCAGAGTGGTTAAAAATGTGAAGTCTGCAAGTATACCCGAGTCAAATCTTACTCTACCCATTTTACAAACTGTTTTGACTTTTCACAATTAAACAGATTTTTCTATATAAATACATGCTTAAAAATTTAATTCACCTGATAGGATTATTTTGAAAATTACAAGAAGCTAAATATATGAAGTTAAAAAATATATTGTATGATATATAATGGAGGCTGGAAGAAACTTCTTTTAAAATACACACAGTAGATTGTGATATTTTTATTCTATATATGAATGTTGATATTCTCAAATATTTAAATTTTGAATGTTGGGATCAATTTTCCTTTCAAATAACCTAAGCATATACTTATAATTAGGAAATCCTGACCGGTGACTATAATTAAAGCATATTTTTTCATTTATTGAAAGGAAATGCAATATAAATATCCTCTATCTTTACCAAGAACCATAATTTTCTTCTTTGAGAAAATTGCAGGGAGTACAGAACTAGAAAAATATAATTATCGATTTAGCTTCCATTGTGTTTGCAGCACATCACTTGTGCTTTATAATATTATTCTTTTTGGCAAGTTTAGCACAATATACACTTACTGAAAACATTTACTATGCTTCCTTCATTTATTTATTTATTACAAAAATATGTTTTTTTGTGTTTTCATGTATCATATTATTCCATAGTTCAATCACATCAAGCAGTATTGTACAATTGCCACCACAATCATTTTTCAGAACATTATTTTCCTTCCAGAACTCCTTGACATCATCTCCCTTTTAACCCCCCCCCACTTCCCCCCTACCAACACTGTACCCACACCCCACCAAAACCCTTATTCTACTTGCTGTCCCTGTGGGTTCATCAATCTTGTACCAGGAAACAGAAAAACATATAGCACAAATTCAAGAGGGTGTATACCAATGTCATGATGTATCTAAGATAAGCCTTAATACGAGCAAACAAAAACCAAACCAAATCAAATACAGAAAATATTGAAAACCAGATTAGGTCCAACCAGGATGGGAGGGTGGGCCGGTAATCAACTCACAAGGGGTTAACCGTTCTAGTCAGGTTTCTCACTTTTTAAAAGTGTTAAGAAAATGGTTTCATGACAGAGAAGAGGGAAAGAAATGAGGGCTGAGGAGAACCAGTGTTGATGGTTCATGATTGGGAGGTACCACATATAAGAACCATAAGATGAATGGTAACACCTTCATGGACTCTCATTCAGGTGATAGATTCCATAGCTACTGTATTGAAGGCATTTCGAAAAACATATATCCATAAAGCTTATAATTCTGACATTTCAGAAACAGAATATAAATGGTCATACCAAATATCTTAAACATAAAAATAAATGGAATTTTGTAAGTAAAACATAGGGTAGCAATTAAAATTATGATTTCTCCAAGTAGATCTGAGAAAGAAATGCAACTGATTGAATGTCACTAGGATGGGACAAAGGAAAGGCTGCTATTTATAATAGCATCGGATTGAAACAGTTTTCAGAAGGAGCATGCTCAGATGATGTTTAAAAGAAATCAAGGAGAACTCATATTTAAGAATCTGGAGGTGGAGTAATATGAATGTTTTTCTCCAATGCAGACTCAGTAATATATATATTTTTTACAGTGCAGCCTCACATAATACAGCTTAAAAATGAGACTATATATGAAAATGGTCAAGTCACACTCATCTGTGAAGCAGAAGGGGAGCCTCTTCCAGAAATCACTTGGAAAAGAGCGGTGGATGGAATCACCTTTTCTGAAGGAGATCAGGTAAGAGTATCTATGCACTATCATAGAATATCCATTACTTTTGAATAATAATACATTTAACCCAGGAATCCAACCTATTAAGCAATTATAGAACCGAAATAAATCACTTGATTTTTAAAATGTAGTTCGACTAAAGGGTCGACTTAAAAATATCGCCACAGAGGTAACTTGTTAAAGTTGTTTTCATTTGGTCGTATGCAGCCTTAGATCATTGATATTATTGCTCAGTCTGCTTTCATGGACTTTTGATATTCACTATATGTATACAATATGTAATTGCATTATTTAAACACACTGCTGTGAAGTTCGAACAAATTATAATTCACAAATCTGGCTGTTATCACTGTACATTTTTCTTTTAAGGAATAACTTTTTGCATCAGCACAAATTTCTTTCTTCATATAACATAGTATAAAAAAGATTAATAAATACAAAGTAGCAAAATACAGTGTTTTGGCAAAGGTCATTCCTGTGTAAGTTGGTGAAATTTCACCAAAATGCATTTGAGTTACTTAGCAATTAATTAAATATTACCATATGCTTCATGCCACACCAGGAATTGTCATTATTACTAAAGCAAGGTAGACTGGGAATATGTTTCATAAATATTACTATTCATATAACACTAAGTGTGTAGATTAAAAAGGGAAATCAAAAGGAACAAAGTAGTGCATTAGTTACAATTTGAAATTTGAGTTACAATTTTAAATTCACATTTAAAGATTATAAGATTAAGCCTTTCTATTGTTTTCATTTACTTAATATTAAAGAAGGTCTATCTTCAAACTTCTGCATTAATTTAGATATGGTTTCTTCATGTCTAACACACTTTCAAAGATTATCAGAACCTCTGATTTACCAAAATTGGTTGATGGAAAATATGAATTAATCTAAAATCTACTTTCTTCTACAACTTCTCATGTTATTTTGTAAAACATCACATTAATTTCATAGATTAGAAATATAAAGTCATCACTCTGCTAATTTAAAATTTATCTATTGAAAAAATGTGTTCATATATATAGCACTTCTTTCACACCATTTTCTTCTAAATGTTGGCCTTTTAAAGAAAGCATATTAATATTCATAATAGTTGTACTTTGACATATGTACTTCATATATTCAAATTAAATATGAAGTTCATAAAATTTTAATGATAATTGTAGTATTCTGGTGATTCAGAATAATTTGCATTACAATTTCTTTGCAGAACATCATAATGCATTTGATATTTTATAATTACCATGCCTGAAACAAGTTCAGTTTCTGTAATTCTTTTTTTCAAAAACAAAAGAAAAATTTAGAGTTATAAACTTTCAAGGGATAGTTTTCACATTTCAATTTGACACTTTTCTTTAATTACTCAAGAGTAATTAGTGCCATGCCCTTAAGCCTTTATTATACCTTAGTATTCCTAACTCGGCATTTCCTAATTATTTTCCCATTTACTTTAAATTTCCTAAAAGACATTTTCTGCAACTTAGCTTTTACCTTTCATTTAAATTGGCATTATCTAATATATATGTCCAGAATTAAAATATGGTTTAAATGTAAAGTTATCAATAATGAGTCATTGTGTAACCAAAATTCTCCACCTAGTTTCTTCTAGGATCTACTGCCCGTGCTGCCCTATAACACTTATAGACATTATTTCCATGGTAGCTGTGAAAAATACTCATCTAGTTCTACTTTGCTAAATAAAGATTATTCCTTCTTACAGAACACAGTATTTTATTTTAGGATTTGTTTTATCTGTTACAAAAATTTATTAAACCAAAATTTACTTAACTAAACATAATTCATTGTTTTTCATGACAGTTCCCTCAAATATTTTGAGATCCATGTCACATTGTTGTTGATGGCAAAAACAATGTGACATGGATTCTGCTACTTTCTTCAAGAGCCAAAATTTTAGCAATTTTATGAAGGAGATAACTTGAGCCTGAAGCAAGAAAATCTACATTTAAAAATCAGCTTCATTTTTACAATATTACTTGCATTTGTTCAATAACATTTTATTTATCTTAAAACTTAAATAATAATATTTATTTCACTTATGGATATAGGAACATTGAGGAATATATTCTATAAAATACATTTCAAAGTGATCAGCATATTGCAAACATCCAATTAATTTTTAAAAAAATCTTTTTTCATATTGCATATATTTTTTTAAAAAATCAATTTATTGGGGCTCATACAATTCATCACAATACATAGATCAATTGTATAAAACACATCTATACATTTGTTGCCCTCATTATTCCCAAAATTCACTTGCCTCTTGGGTTCCCGGAATCAGCTCATTTTCCTTTTTTTCCCCTTCCCCTCTCCTTCCTCCTCCCTTCTCCCCCATGCACCCTTAATAATTCATAAATTATTATTGTATCATATTACACTGCCCGGCGTCTCCCTTCACCCACCCCCCTGCTGCCCGTCCCCCAGAGAGTAGGTTATACATAGCTCCCTGTGATCCATTCCCCCTTTCTTCATCCCCTTTCCCTCCTGGTATCGCCACTGTCACCCCTGGTCCTGAGAGGTTCATCTGTCCTAGATTCCCTGCGTTTCTGATTCCCATCTGTCCCGCTGTGCTTCATCTGGTCTAACCAGGTCTGCAAGGCAGAATTGGGGTCCTGGTAGTTGGGGGGAGGAAGCATTTAAGAACCAAAGGAAGGTTGTGGGTTTCATTATTGCTATACTGTACCCTAAGTGACTCATCTCCCCACTACCCCTCTGGAAGGTATGTCCAATTGTCTAGAGTTGGGCATTGGGTCTCCATCACACGCCACCCTCATTGACAAGGATATGACTTTTCTCCCCACCTTTGGTATTTAATGCCTGGTCCCTTTGGCCCTTCATGATCACACATGTTGGTGTGCTGCTTCCATGTGGGCTTTGTTGCTTCTGGGCTAGCTGGCCGCTTGTTTACTTTCAAGCCTTCAAGTCCCCAGACGCTATAGATCTCGATAGCCGGGATCCATCAGCCTTCTTCACCACACTTACTTATGCACACATTCGTCTTCAGCGTTTATGTGTGGAAGGTGGTCACACAATAATGGTTTTTGTTCTTTGGTGTCTGCTGCCTGTTTCCTTCAACACTTCGTGTTCACACAGGCTCTTGTGCTTCTTCTCTGTGGACTTTGTTGTTTCCGAGCTAGATGCATATTGCATATTTTTAAGTGAAAGGTACCTTATTTTTCTTATTCTAAATAAATTATGATGCCCACAGATTCCATAAAATATTACACATAGGATGAAGTAAACACAGTTGCAGGGTACCTTGTGTCCTTATCTTTGTGATTCAAGAAAGTAGCACGAGATTAGATTTGCTTTGAGAATAGCTTAAAATGCAAAATCTAGCTTCAATTCCATAAGAGTCAATCATTTATGTCCACAGAAGGACTTAAACTACTATCCTCAATTTAATGTAAACTGATAACAATTCTATGTAAGGTTTGGTACACTGATTAGTTGGTTTGACATATAGTGTTTTGAGCCATAATTTGGAAAATATATCTCAAAATATAAATCAAGATGAAAATTTGAAACTAATTATTTCCATAGATAAATATTTTTAAGACTTTGCCTGGCACATGACTCCAAAAAACAAACTCTCTGCCATTGAGTCATTTCCAACTCCTTGTGATCCTACAGGACACGATTTGAAGACGTCATTGGAAAAGGGAAAAAAAAGTATTAAAAAACTTAAAAAGATCAAACTGAAATAAAATTCCCAATATGTATGTACTTTTCAAATTACTTTTTAATTTAGTCTTTTAAAAACTGTATATATGTCATAAAACCTCACAATTCTTGAATCTTTACAAATGCAGTTCAGTGACATTAATGGTGATAATCGCATTGTGCAGCCATCGCAATTGCCGATTTCCCATCCATTTTAATTATTTTTTAAATTTAAATGTTTATTTTAATCACACAAAAAGAAAAAAAAAACTGCTGTGGTTGAGTTGATTCTAACTTATAGCAATCTATAGTGTTTGCAAAGCTTTAATCATTTTTTTTAACCCAAAATAATTTGTCTGCATTTAATCATTTTTTTTGGCGGGCGGAGGAGCTGATATCAAAGAGTTCAAGAAGAAGAAAAAACTTTTAAAACCGATGATTGCAGCAATTGCACAACTATTCTTGATCTAACTGAATTATGGGTTGTTACAATACCTGTAAGAGCTCCCAATAAAATTATTAATACAAACATTTTTAAAGTATTTAATAGAGCCTCACTGCAATTGAGTCAATTTGAACTCATTGAGCTCTGTGCCCTCTAAACAATGAGTCTCCTTTCCCTTTTATCCCATCCCTGCTAAGTAACTACTATGTACTTGTGGTGGTATACAATTTCCTGGCCTCGATATTTCACCTAACCAAAATCAAACACTGTTTTCCTATAGGGACAAATTATTTCAATCAGTGTTTCAAGGTCCATCTGTTTGTAGCATACATCAGAACCTAAGCCATATTTTTGATGGTTTAGAATATTTTGATGAAATTGAGTTATAGGTAGAGAGCAATAAAATGTCCGTATCATATGGTTCAACCTCATAATTTATCTAATTATAAGATAATTCTTTAGGGAACATTTTCATCACTGTTGTAGAATTCTGAAGGAGCCCTCTTTCAAGAAGTAGCATCCTACCTCCTTGTCTCAATACTCAATCCCCAAATAATTCAAACCAAATTAATGGGAATACAATATTCTATGATAAAATCTACAGGTAAATAAGGGTGTTAAAATAAACTTAAACCTTATACAGACTCAGGCCTCAGGCTCATAAGCAGCATGAGACCATCCATGCTTCCTGTGGGGAAAAGAGAAGAGTCCTCATTTCTGAGAGCAGGAGAAACCAAAAGAACAGTGAGGAAAAATGCCGGGTCTACTGCGAAGTTCTTCCTTTAAAGAAGAAGGGAGAGGAGTAGAAAGCGACTAGAGACTGCTGGGTTCAAACTGTGGATGCTTTGGTTATGAGCTCAACATGCAGCCC